GAGGAGTCAGCACTGCCTGCCAATGCAACATTTTCAACCTTTACAGGTAAAAGAAAATGCTACAAGTAACTGTACCAATTAACAGAAGCCTGAAGTGTAACTGAGAAACAAAACCCTGCAGCTTTCAGCTGACTTTTTTTCCTTGAGAAGACATTACACAGGCAACTAAGAACCAAATTACTTACAATCTGTTACTGTTTAGGAGGGATTTTATGAGTGTACTGAGAACACAGCTGCAGTAACAAAAAGCCATGAAGTACTTAAGGTATCAGCCTTTAAGAAAGCTGGTGAAGAACTATTTAATACTTTCTGTACTTTCCTACATAATCACACAAACAGCCGTTTAGGACATTATCTGATGTAAGTACGGTTTTTTAACTATCTGGAGAAGGGTATTCCCCAGGGAAGGGAAGGCAGGAGCCCTCAGTGCTGTGCCCACTCATTTCAATTAGTGTACACATCAACTGGATGAAAAGTTTTCCCCTAATGCATCTTTTTCCCATCCAAAAAGCGTTTTGATGAATTTTAAGGTGTTTAGCCACTTCTCCCCAGCACAGAGCTGTATCTGCCTGCACATAAAAAAAAAATGACACATTTAGGATGCAACAAATTTCTTACATGTGTGCCCAACTCCGCAAAGATCCCCTGCCTTGCTGTTAGTGCGTTAACACAAACGTGGACAGCATCATCTGGCCAAAACTATGTCCAAATATTTCCCTTCTGTTGTTTCCCAGCTGCTCCTCACAGCACCATCACTTCTAGACTGAAGTTTGGGGCATGGCCTGGAGACAGAGATTGGGATGCTGCTGGGAAAGGGCAGCTCAGCTGATTTAAGCCGAAAAACAATTTCTATGCTCTTGACCCACTCTGTCCAAGGCTTTTCAATTGAAGGGGCAAGAAGGCCTTGGGGAGTGGGGGAGGGAGAAGAAAATTGAATTTCAGGCAGGATGAGGGGCAGCAGCAGCAGCATTTTCCTGCCATCTGGCAGCCAGACAGTTTTCTGTAAAAAGCAGGGTTATATTTTTTAATTTCTGTCTCTGAGCACTTCTCAGTCCCCCCTGTCCTGCTCTGCCCTGGCCCTTGGGTGCAGTGCTGGTGAGACGGCCGTGCTGTTGGTGCCAGCCCTGTCCCCGTAGCTCCCGCTGGGAAAGCAGGCAGTGGGTGCCAGGTGGGAGCTGCAGCAGTGGTGAGTCCAGCACTGACGCGCTCAGAGGTGCTGCTGCTGCAGCACAGCACAGGCATTTCAATAAAAAGCTCCACAGGAGACCAGCTAGAGAGGGAACTTCCCTGTAAGCAGCTGAGACCTTTTCTTTCAACACAGAATTTCAGATGCAAATAACTATTGCCATCTACTGGAAACAGACTTGTGGAGACTCAACCAGGCAGTGCAAGATCAGGCCAAGAGACATAAAACCCCTTCCACCCCAGAGAAAGGGAGAGCACATCACAACCTACAGGCCATTCCTTCCAAAGTAATTGATTATTCACAAACTATCAAATGCCAACTTATAGATAAGCAAAAAACAGTCAGCCCAGGGTGTGGGTGTCATCATCCAACCCCCCATCACCACCCTGGCAGCACAACAGTCAACTGTGCAAACAAGGCCCTTCCATACCTGTTGCTGCTCCTCCGCCCTCTCTCTCATGGCATTTCCACAGCAGCTCCAGCATAAGACACACAGCACGGTCTCCTTTGGAGTGTTGCCCAGTGCTTGACAACTCTGGTGTGCTCATTGTACAGGTTAGTGGGACAATCCTACAGTGGTCTCACATGTTCCCAGTGCAAGCTGAGCTGGAAGCCCAGCTGAGCTGGTAGCTTTGAAGCCCATACCAGTGCCAGGTGATACAGGGCCTGTGCTGCCCCCACTACATGTTCCTTAAACCTTCTGAACGTGTAGTTGTCACCTACCTGTCTCAGGAGGCTTTGCCTCTGAGGAAGAAAGTAAGAAACGTTATCCAGGAGAACAAATATTCTGTAAATGCTCTGAACAACTTCTGTATAGCTCTATACAGTCAGGAGAGCAAACAGGGCTCTACCAGTAAGTGCTCCATAACATTCATTAGCAAACATTTTGATCAATAAAACTGATGAACCACAATTTTGTTAAGTAAAAGAAGCTGGTCCAGAAACTGTGAGATCATTAGGCCTTACCAAAATAAATAGTACCTGGAATATCTGACCAGCTGTGGAAGTGACTGGAAGTCAGTGACTGGAAGTACACATGCAGCTAGATGGTCAAAGGTTCCTCAGACTCCTCTTGAGAGATCATCTGGACTCCTGTCAACACAGGGATGAAACTGCCACTGATGCAGATCTCCTACTGCCACACTCTTCTCATCAATTACCCCACATCAGGGAAAACCCCTCCTGCAATACATCCCTGTATATTAACACCATTCAGAAAGCATGGACTTCTGCAAGCTGTAACATCTATCTAGAATGCTATTTATTCTGACAAAAAGCTGATTTAAAATAGCATGTGCTTAGTGTTTGAAAATATCAGTGGGCTTCTTTTTCCAAAACAAACCAAGAAAGCAAAAAATAATCATACCATAGTAGTTGCAGTGAAAATGGGAAATGAAAGGCAGGAGGCTGAAAAGTAATATCCCTAAACAGATGCTCCTCAGTCCTAATGATAAGAAGAGTATCAATATGTTAAATAGTCCTCGGTGACTGTTAAGTAATCACAGTCTGCAAAGGAAACCAGTTTCCATCATCATCTAGTTTGCTAGCTTTGATATAGCTAAAAATCAATCTAAGCAACACATCCATATATTCCCTCGTGGAATGCTGCATTCTTTTCTGCACCTCAGTCTCCCCTTCTCTCTCTCTCGGTATTTTCTTATATACCTCATAAACACGTGTGTGTTTTACATGAAACTGCGAAAGGAGAAGGAGCCTACAGACTTTCCAGGGCCTGAAAAGTTATTTACTAGCAAAATCTGACAATTCCCAAATGAGACAAGTTTTTATCCCCAGCTATTGGTCCAGACATTGAATACAAGAAAGCAAAACACAATTAAAAACCCCAGAAAAATACAGAAGGAAAAATGTGATTAAATCCTAGAAGCTCAAGACTTGAGGTAATCAAACCTCAATCAGCATTCTATATACCTTGGGGACATCAGTCTTTTGGTCATTCCTTCCTGAAAGTAAATATAAACACTGACACCTTATTCAAAGAAAAATATGTTATTGTGGGTGTTGGATGAACCCATTCCAACCTCAAAGAGAAGCATTTCCTTTATAAATACAGCAAGAAATGAGCTCTGCTTCTACTAAATCCCACAGAAAAACTGAATGACTACCAATGGCCTTCTGCAATTCAAACTAAAATAAAGCATGTTGTTCAAGAGAGTTGTCATCTTTCACAAGTTCATCTTCATAAGTCTTGTAACTCAAGTATCTGGTAAAATGAGCAGGGAAGCTTCTACTGTTTCTCTGAATGCTGAGTTTGTAAAATCAAATGGGAAATCCTGGGAATTTTCAGCAAATTTTCACCTCCAACTTGGTCTGCTGTATCTTGGTTCTCATCTCACACAAAATGTCAGCAAGTTCTAATATTGCAGTCAAACTAAAACATGCTAAAAAGCTATGTTTTTAGCACCTAGTAATATCAGGTAATGAAGAACAGTCATGCTCATTAACTTTTCATTGTGAAATCAAATTTTCATCAGTGCCATAAAAACAAGCAAACAAAACCCCAACTGTCTTCTGTTACACTGACAGTTGCATTTGTTCACTGTACCTGCTAATCAGCAATTAATTTAACACCACCATAATAACTGGAATGGAATAATGGCTCCAGATGCTATGACGAAGGAAGTTTTCATTACTTAAAAATGTATCTTTAGGAATAGCAGGAAGGAAAGGTGCCTCAGAGAAAACAAGGTTCTCTGCCAACGTACAAACTGAAGCAATAATGCAACAAAAAATTTATGTGAACAACAGCCCAAGTTAAAAACTAAGCAGTACTTCAGGTATTCATAATTGCCTCCCTGCTTATCAACGGAGGTGAAAAAATAGGTATAAGGACCCTTCTAGACTCTATGAGCAAAATAAAACCTGTTTTTATGCTTAAAACATGGATAGCTCTATCTTTCATGGTAAAGGACTGCTCTTCACCTTTTCTGGTGTTTGGAATTCAGGAAGGTGCACCAAATGCTAATACAGGCAAACTTATCTGTGCTAAACAAAGGTTGTTTGCTGCTCTTGTGGATTTTTAAAATACTTGTGGTGTAAACGCTTCCTAAAATTCTTGTATGCTTCAATCCAGTCCTCCTCTTTATCATTTCCCCTATTTCTGAATTCCCAAAACAAAAGCAAACCATGTTCCTGAACATGTTCCTCTTCTGTGTCTCAAAGTGGGGAGGGAAGAGAATTAACCGCAAAGCACATCACCCCCAGCACCAACCTTGGAACCTGGGCACCAAGGTGTCTTCAAGGGCTTCAACTCACACATCAGTCTGAGACATACCTGCTCACTTCGACTACAATTTCATTCCCTAATTCTCGGTTGTGTTATGCACAATTTTCTTGACTAATAACAATTACTTGAAAAGAAAATATCTAGTTCCTTTCTGCTTGGTCGTATCATCTGACACTAAACGAAATGCCGAAGAAAATTTGTCTGGACCAACATTTCATAGCATAGCAAGACTCTGCCAATTCCCAAATCCAGCAACACAAGAGCATGGCAACCTCCCTGCCATTAAAGCTTGATTACAATCTGTATATAAAAATCTACAACTATTTATTTGTACATTACTAAACATCAAAAATAACTGTCACACAATTGTAAAATAAAACCCCAGTGTAACTGCTGGTGGTGTTATATGGCTGCTTGTTTGTTTTTAAGTGTTTGGGGTTTGCTAGTTGATTCACCAACTTCAGAAGCATAAAACAGTTCTCTGAAACACAAGTCTAGATGAAGGAAGTTTTATGCCAGCACAAAAACACCGAATTCATAAAGCCAGAAGAATAAACACAATCCTTGGTCTTTTCTTGTTTAAGCTAAACAGGCTGATTTATTATTTTCCTGTCACCAGTTTTTATCTCAGGTTTGAGCTAATCATTTATCCATATCTGAAAGTAATGAAGAACATATAAAAAGAAGAACAATAGTCCAGCAAGTACAAGTCACTCAATTTACTCACCAATCAGTTTTCTTTCAACCCTTCCAGAGTCCAAACACAAGTGCACAAAAATCCTGGGTTAAGTGGCAGAACTTTTTGAATAATTACTAAAAAGGAACTCTGCCTACATAGATCACTTTCAAATGATAATTAAAAGAAAATGATAAATGAAAAAACATTAAAGAACTTACAGCACTAGACAGAGGGCCATGGGTGAAGCTGATCCTCAGAAACTGAGTTTCCAGGTTACATTTTAATTAAGAAAACATTCATATATGTGTCAACATGAAACAAAACATTCCAAAATCTGGTATCTTACATATTCCACATCTAGTTTGCTAATATGCAATAGCATTATTATTATTACTTATTTAGCCTATTCCCTACTGCCTCACAAAGGCAAAACTGATTTTGGAAGTGAAAAGCTTGCATGATATGCAGAACACATACTCTATACATTCCTCCATTAACATACTTTTGAATGAAGTTTTTTTATGCCACCAATCAAATTCCTCAAAATTGGTGTCCCTACATACATTTCACTCCATGATATGCTCCACTTTCCTCCTCTAGTCCCATACTCTTTTGTGCCCTTTTCAAGAAAATAAAAAAATAATTAAAAAAAAGTTCAACCATCAAGTGAAAAATGTCCACAGGCATCTTACACTGATTTATTTTAAAAAAAAACCAAAACCATCCAAACAGCTTCTTCTTTTGGAGAACAGTTTTACATTCCTGAGAGTGAAAAACTACTGGAACAAAACTTCCTCTAAATGTTCCAGGACTTGTCAGACATTGTAATCAGGGGACTTTCCCTGTGGTTGTCGCAGTCGGATTTGTAAGGTAGAAAATGCTCCCACAGTCACGTGAAAGAAGAGCTGCCACAGGTTGCGCAGTTCGTACAGATACATGTTACACAGGCAAATCAGCCCAAAGGTCAGGAAGGACTTGGCATTCCTCCAGCCCGTGTAGTATACAAACAGGTAACACTGTCAGGAAATAAAAAAGAAATCAGATTACCTCATGGCAAGTAACTTTCACTGAAGAAACACTATGTGGTCACTGAGGAATTACAGAAGAAAACAAGGAAAACCTAAAACATGTAAGAACAGTATCAATTCAGCAGTCATGGCAGGGTGAAAAGTACCTGACATCAATACAAGGCTACATTTTGCTTCCATTAAACCCTTTCTGAGAACAATTCTCCCATAATAATAGATTACAACCTACAATGACAAAACAAAGGGGATGTTTCTGTACATCTCTGGTCAAAACATACTCTCAGTTCCACGCCAGCAGTGGAATAGGAACAAGAGCCACTTCAGTCTTCTTCAGGCAAAGCAGTGGGAAGGACAGGGAAAATACCAGGCCCCTGCAGCTGGGAATGAACACTCAGCACAAGGCAATCCCCCAGATACCTCCCAGTGCTGTGCCAGGAGTAATGCCAAGGATTAACTGAGAGATGCAGAGGTCCACAAACACCCACTGCCCTGCTTCAGCTGCTGCAACGTGGATCACATTTGGAGAGAAACACAATCCTACCACATTTTAAGGGTCCGTTTCTGCACGCTGTGGTGTGACACAGTGTCAAGACTGCCCTCAGTTCCCTGCTCTGCCTTCCTCCTACTACAGCTAGAAATCTGTTCAAGTCTCTTGCCTCAAGTTTTATCTCACATGAGTGAGCCTAAAACATCTTATTCCATTTAAGTCTCATGTAAATATGGGACTTTACCTGATGTAAAATTGAGATCAATCTGAATTCTTTAAGGCAGATATTGATAGAAAGTCAACAAGTGGTGAGGGACACAAGTTGTACTGTAACATTTTAGTAGAGACAAGTTGTAGAGAATGGAGATTACAGGTAACCTGGACAAAAGGCTGACTGATATAGAGGCTGATATAAAAGGAAAATCCTGAGACATTATTTTATTTGGCTGCCTGACACTGTACTAAACATTGGCACACAGAAACAAGTAGAAATTGCATAGTCCACAAGAGAATAAAAGTCAAAATAATCATAATAACAGCAACTGAGCATGACAGACATTACAGACATAGGTTAATGTAATAGCAGTGTCACTGAATGACAGATGCCAACAGGCACCAGAATGTCTTGATATAAATTACAGGAAAGTCAAATTCAGATGCAGAAATGGAAAACCTAAAGAAATGAAAAGCAAGGGGAAGTATCAGACAGGAAAAGGAAAATATAGTGAAAAGTGGACAAAAGCTTTGAAAAGGAAGGCGATGCATATTCATGTACAAAGTCAGGAAAATCCCAGGGTGTAGTACCTTGGTATTACTGTATTTACTTCAAATCTTCCCAAAGGGAAGAAGCAGTAAGGTATTTTTCAGATGGTTAAATTTACTTGAACTATGAAACCACTACTGCAAGGAATAATATAACCCCCACTGCTCCTGACTTTAGAGCTAAATTGTAAGCTCCAAACACAAAAGTAAATGCCTTAATTATCTAACTGGAGAAAAATAGTAGCAAACAGAAGCAATTTTGTATTAATCTACTGTATGATAATTTAAGATTAATGAAATAAAATAAAGCAGAAATTATTTTTTATAATTGCCCTATTCAAGGATCTGTGACATTTAAGAAAACATGATGACAATTTATGCATGACTGGGTAATGTTTCTAAACTCTAGTGAATTATGCAAACAGAAAAACGCACCTGGTACAAACAGGCTGCCGTTCCAAGAAAAAATGCAATAACATAGCTGAAATCTTCACCTTCGTTCTGTAAGAATAAACCAAAAAGCCATATTTTACAATGTTTCAGTTAAATACCTCATAGTATGAAAGTTATTAATTATTGTATGTTAAAATAGGTCCACACATTGATTTATAATAATTTATTGATTTATAAACCAAGAGTTAGGACAAATCAGTGCTTGCTTTTATGTCTGGGAAAAAACACCATGATCTGGAGTCTGACCAAAACATTGACTCACAACAGACAACTAATGCTGAGATTTTCAAAAGCCTTAAATGAAGTCCAGGTCTAAAACTGGATACTTAGCTTCTCCAGATGCCTTTGAAAATTCAAGTCTAAACACTGGTAACTAGCTTTGATATCAACTTTGTAGAATTGTGCCTTCCTCCAGCCTCACAAAATGGAAACGAGGTAAAAGGAAGAAAACCCAAAGCGGCCACTAGGGTGGGGTAAAACTCTACACAGAGAATAACGCAGGCAGCTCACGGTAGTGACAGCAAACAGCAGCACAGGAATTTGTCGGAGAGACTACTGGAAAATTAAGTTTTCTTCAAGGAAAAGATGGAAAAATTTACTCGAAGTGACAGATCTTTCTACTATCCGTTTAAAAAAACAAACAAATCCTTCTAACTTATTCAAAAGGGTTGTTATAGTTTCTGTAGAGCTGAGCGGAATAAATTTACGTGCTCAGTGACTATTCCAACTGCATTTCCAACAAACATCTACAACAATCAAAAACTTTCCCAGGAAAACAAAGGGTACCCATGCAAATGTTCTTCCTTGAGAGTGAATATCATTTTGAGAAGAAGGTGGTCCATTCACAAGTACAGCTTGTGTCTGCTCAGCCTATGTTCAATGTGGAGCATTTCCATCTCCAGTGCTGACTAGGAAAAACTCTATATATCTGCACATAAAAATCACCCACACAATGCAGTAACTTCACACCATGTGTAAGTCTTTGCCTTGGTGTCACTGTGTATTTGCTGGGGTACAGCTACAGATTGCAGCAGTTTCACTAACACCCAAACAAAAACACTGATTATAAATGAAACAGTAATTCAGAGAGATGCTTTTGAATGACTTTTCAGAACACATTCAATTAATCATGCTTTGGATTATTTCTCCCTAAACTCTGTGGCTTTTTTCATAATAAAGTAAATTAAGAAAAAATTTAATGGATTTTTAGTGTGCCTCATTTGTCAGAAATGAAAATTATCTTCCATCTGTACTGCCATCTATTACCTCCAGATGCAATAGCATATAGAATAAAATTAACTGGCTGCCCTGGCATCACTTACACAGGTTAATCTAACATTGGCATTCCTTTAAAAAAAAATCAGCTGTGGAAAGTAACAAAATAAGTTTAGAAACATCATGGTAAGTGGTAGAAATCTGTTCAGTGCTATTTGTACTACAGCATACTTTGAATTCATTCCTATTTATAAACTGAGAGAATTGTATATAACACAAAAAAATCTAATTAGTAGAGATATTTGTTCACTATTTCATTCTTGGTCTTTCTTTAAGAAAACAAACCAAAAACAACTCAAAAAGAAGGACCTAGCATGGAACATTTTCTTTAACCTTATTCATCTATCCATTAGTCTTCAGGAAATGCTGAGACCTCAAACCTTACTGCTTATTAAATCTTTACACAGACCAATAACTATATAAGACAAGTGGAATACAGGTCATCTTCTTTACCTTACTTCCCTAAAAAAATCCATTAATTATCAGAAAATATTGCAGTTGGCTGGTGAAAGGCTTAGAGACCAAGACTTACGAGGAGTAGCTGATGAAACTGAGAGTTTTTTAGTTGGGAGAAAAGGAGGCTCAGGAGAGAACTTATCACTCACTGCAACTACCTGACACGAGGCTGTAGCAAGGTGGGTGTCAGTCTCTTCTCCCAGGTAACAAGGGACAGGATGAGAGGAAATGGCCTCAAGTTGCACCAGGGGAGGTTTAGATATTTGAAAAATTTCTTCACTGAAAGGGCTGTCAAGCACTGGAACAGGCTGCCCAGGGAAGTGGTTGAATCGCCACTCCTGGAGGAATTTAAAAGTTGTGTAGATGTGGCACTCTGGGACATGGTTTAGTGGTGAACTTGGCAGTGCTGGGTTAATGGCTGGACTCAGCTCTTTTCCAAGCTAAATGACTCTATGATTCTATGAAGTCTATAAAGGTACATGTTTGAATAAAAGGATTATCTATTAGACAAGCTAGAGGATTACCATTTTCTTTCAGAAAAATTCCATGGGCTTTTTAGTTTCTATGTCTACCACCACAACAGATCCATTAAATGGCAAGGAAGCCCTTTTTGTTGTGGTAACACACATGAACTTTGTGTGCATGCCTGCAAGCACTACCAGCATATTTCACCTGAATTGCTTAAAATCGTAACCCACTATTAGTGACATCGTAGCAGTGAGAATACAAACAGCAGAAGAAATGGAATAGAAAGAAACTGAAAGGCTACAGGGAAGGTCAGAGCAGAGAGTTTACAGAAAAAAATGTTTTTGGGGGATGTTGTTGTTTAAGGAGGTGAGGGGAGTTTAGAAGAAATCACTTGAAATTTTTCCCTGACATTGACCTTTCAGCATACAAAGAGAAATAAGCATCCTACCATTAAGAAGGTTTATTAAATACAAACAAAACAAAAAAAAAAGTTTACAAAAAAATTTTTACAAAACCTGTTTAAAGACGCATGCTCTGTGGACTTTAAAAAAAAAAAAACTGGCCAGATTTTCAAAGCTGTTCATCATTTCACTCAAATGCTTTTAAATAGCATCTACAGAAATTAAACACCTCATACCCTGGCATAAATTTAGAAAACAGAACATTATGTTCACATACTCACTGCTACCAAGGTACCAGGGAAGGAGTTGGCCACCCACCTTCTACTGCTGTTGAAACTCACAGCCTCAATGAATGAGGCATCACACTGAATAAGGATGCTCTGGTCACAAACAATACAGGTTTCATGAACAGAAGCCTGACCTCACAAACAGTATTTCTGAAAATAAAACTGGTGAGACTTAGTTCACATAGCATCTTCTAAGGTCATAATTATGATTGCTATGGTGCATAACTTTTAAACTCACAAAATGTACAATACCTGGAGAAGGCTTTCAATGGCATGAAAGCCACGAATTAAATTCAAAGCTCCACATAACAGACTAAGCACAAATGAGACAATCCCTGGCAGAGTCACAGGTTCCAGACGCTGATGAGGAGCTGCAAAGCAGAAGATCAAAAAAAGATAATAAAGGTCAAAGCAATGCCTTTAGAAATTCAGTAAAAGTGTGATCTCATTTTTCTGTGGCTTCTAGCTCAAGAGATCACCAATGCAAACCACAAAATGTCAATTTTTTTTCTAAAAAGAAGAAGAAACATTTTCAATATTTCAGCCCAAGGTTTAACAAAAAGTAAACTTTCCTTCAGTTCACATATATAATTGTCTTGTTATATTTAGTCTTTATTTCAATGCATTCCATTTATTCAGTATGGTACTGACAGCTGCTCAAACACGCCAGGAAATCAACAGTAAAAGATGCACTCGCTAGTGAAATCCGTCCACAATTAGTAACCAGCTAATAAGTCACGTACTTAAGAGCTTCTCTCGCAGCCTGCACTCTTTAACATTCTTTAACACAAATACATTAGTGAGATATTGAGACTGATTTAGCTTGTTTGCTGAACAGAACACTTTGAGGCAAAGCTATCACAGTCCCCCTCCTTAAAAAATACGGCCAACTGAGTGCTACCGAAGACATAAAACAACAGCTCTGAAACTAAACCAGTATCTATATTACGACCTTATACAGACCTTCCAGATAGTGCTTACAAGTCTCTTATAAACCACGTTAAAATTAAAACAGCCTTTCTTTCCAAGCACACCCACTCCTTCAGGCTTATCTAGGGTCACAAGTATGTAACAGTTGTGTATGTTCCTCATTACTGTCCCTTTCCCTTTTTCATAATTAATAACAGAAAGCAAATGTGAAAAAAACAATGCAAAACTCTTAACAGTCTGGGTGACACTGGGAAAACAATGTGACTACTGAGCCACACTCAAATCATTCTGTTCAAATCAACCAAGTGTAAAGAAGTGAACAACGAGGTTAATGAACTGTAACGTTAATAGAGAGAGGGGTGTCAATCCCGGTTGTTTGCATTGCACAGACTCAGGAAAAAGGTTTTTCAAACAGTTTTTGAAGTTACAGAACCTAAAGAAAAAACCAACAAAAGCTATTTCACATTGATAAGCAGGCAGGGCTGTCTAATTATGAGTGTACGATAACACAAAAATAAAACACAGGATGAGTTCAGTTAATTCATTTGTGCTGAATTTAATAGTGTAATCAGTTGGGTTTTTTTTAAACAAAAGCATAACCCACGTTTAACTTTGAGAGCTCATTGCTTTTCTAACTGTAGGGCACATTACTCCCAGCAATCACTCAGTTAAGGTTAGATATGCTATTTGCATACCAAACCACTCTTTTTCAACGACTCCTAACTGGTCGTTTTGTTTTGGCTTTTTTAAACCAGCTCATCTAGAGTGTGGCAAAAAACTGAGGGTGTATGTGACTGTTTTTAGCCAAAACTAATTCCATTTCACTAACTGACGGATAAAATTAGTTCACTGCTCTCCACTCACAGTTCTCCAGACAATCTCATTTTCCCCATGTCCTGTGTAACTTAAAATCATTGTGTGTTAAAACAGCATTTAAAACACCTCTTTGAGAACCATGGGGGGAAAGAAGAGTCTCATCAGCTAAATCAAGACAGTCTGTGAGGGATCATATAGTACTAATTTTTCTCTCTTATTAAAATACAAAAACAAATCCAAAAAACTTGAAGGACATTGCATACCACTACTGATGTCAATTAACTCTCCAGGGCTTAACGGATTTTAGTGCTACAATCAAAGCAACAAGAGTCATTTATACACTAAAAGATGAAGAAAAAACCAAAAGAATGAAGAAGGGACATCAGAGAATGCAGGGTAAAGGCCAGCTGAATTTTAGTTGGTACATCAATCAATCTTAGAAGTATGATAAGTACCATATCAAAAATCCTCAATTGAAATAAAGCACAAATTCTGAATTTAATGCTGACATTTAAATAAAAATTCAGAAAATTGACACGATATGAGAAACTGCACTACTTGTAAGGACATTTACTTAAGACTAAAATGTCAAAAACCCCAAAAACTTGGAGCATACAATCAGGCAAAAAATAATTTCAATTTGACAACTGTTCCTTCATTGAAAAAAAGCTCAAATAATAAATTTATCCTAACCTAAAACATCACACATCAGCATGCTGTCACCCTATTTCTAATGCCTGCCAACACCTACATTCACCTCTGAAGCAAAATTCCATCTATAATCTGAGCACTTTATGCTTCACACATCCATAATTACCCCTATTTCTCACTACACAGCACAACTTTCTCTGAAGGAAAAGCGCTGCTATTTTCAATTACTTTCACAACACAGGAGGCCTGGGCACTACACTGTGGCTACAGGAGCAATTACAGTCCAAGTAACAGCCAGCAGCATGGCGAAAAATAATGCATCCAACTCTGCCCTGCTGCATAACAAAACAAGGTTAGCCTCCACCCAACTCCCCACCTCTGCACGCTCTCCAGCCTCATTTAACATACTTGATGCACTTATAGCAAGTCCTACTTTTTAACAGGACAGCATATTCAGGAAATTACACTAGGCAAAACATATCTTTTTGTGAGAATTTGTCCTTAGAGCAAAGGAGAAACTTTGAAGTCTAGCCAACTGAGTGGGCAGCAAACATCCAGAGAAAGTTCTTTTCAAGGGTGGAGGGAAGTGATGAATGTAAAGGATTACAAAACTATTAGCAGACTCCCTAAAATAGACACTGTTATTCAATGCCATCTAAAATGTGAGGAGCTGAAGAAGGAGCAAAGTGCAAACCTCTCATAAGGTACAGTTCTTTGATGGTGAGTTTCTACAGCAGCTCAAGGAAGGAAGTGGAAAACTGAACAGAGATCTATGGAATTCACAGGAAGAAGAAAGTTTAAAGTAACTCAAAGAGAAACAGAAGAAAATCAATATGGAAAGAAGAGAGGACAACAGAACTGCTTCTGTAAGAAGTCTGGGAGAGGTAGGTGAAAAATATTAGAAGGTCATCTGCCAATTACTGTTGAATCTTCCTTTATAGTAAAAAGGGAAATGGTCCCTATTCATTTTAACTTAAGCCCATGTGATCTTCCGACACTTTTACTCAAAAAAGTGATAAAAAACTCATCCGATTTTGACATAGGTCAAGTTCTCTCACGCTTATTGCTTTTTCTTCTCCCAATTGCAGGAAGTTTGAATCTGGACAACCAGTTGCCACTTCTGACACCATAATCCACAGGGCAGGATTACACCAGAACAGTAAGAGTAAACAATACAAGCATCAAAAGTGGTAGAAGGATGGTATGATGGTATCACAGCATTATACCTTTAAAAACAACTCACACATGTAAGTAGGAGATGATTAAAGGTCTGCACAGTACTGCTTAGATTTCACTCTTTTATACACTTCAAACACCTTTACACTTTTTCTTTATTCTTTTTCCAGAATCTAACTCTAATACTGGTAAATTGCAAATACAGAGATTGTAAACTATTTCTACACTGTCTCATAGCACCTGGAATTCTCAGAATCGGGGCCCCAGAGTGCCCCAGTGATTTTGTTTGGTTTTCACTTCAGTAGAAAGCAGTTTTCAATCTTCTAGAGTAATCCTTACGAGTAAGTACGTAATAAGGATAATGCACTGGCAAAGAGATCCTATTAACACATACATATATATAAACTGCACAAAATTAAGCTAATCTCTTTTATTACAAAACTGTAGGAAGTATTTAGATTTATGATTGCAATCCTAGGATTTATGATTGTAGCCTGACACTGTAAAGTGTCAGGCAGAATATGCCTGCCCAGGATAACTTACAGACTTTGGGGGGAAAAAAAGGGAAAGATATTAACTAATTAAAATCAACACTTCCTTCCATTCTATTTATGATTTTCTTTCACTAAACTTGGAAGACTGAAATCAGATGATGTCAGGTTCACATGTGGAGTTCACATATTAGTGCAAGGATTTGGCAAGTTTTTAAGTTTCTATCCTGTTGAGAAACATATGAAGGTGGGCCTCAAACTCTCTTAACAGCACAAACCTTTAACCCAGGTCAACCACACAATTCCATATTTACTTCCAACATGAAGCAAATTAAAGTTTTAAAAAATTAATGACTACTTAAATGAATGTGTCAATTTTATACAAAATTGCAATTCTTAACACTGTACACAAGGTACTCATTTTAGCAAGTGCATCTTTTAGCCAGCACAGCTCTTTGGATTTTCACCATGGCAGATGCTTCCTAAAGTGATGCTCCTCCCTCCAGCTGCTCTAACTCCTGACACTGTGCTCTCAGCTTATGTCATCACTAAGTCTTACTGGGAAGAAATATTAAAATTTTCAGAAATCTTGAAAGGTCAGAAAAAGAAAGATCATCTTCTTGTTAAGTGCCCATCTTCATTTGCAGTATTTTTTTCCCTTCAATATAGCAGTCCATTGAACAGATCCATTTCTCCCTCTGAGTGCCTTGGGAAGACGTGCACTTCGAGCAGGGGACAAAACAGACATCCAAGCTAAAATGCACATAAGGTCATGGCAGCTTTATGCTTTAGAGCCATGAAAAAGCTTTTTTCTAAAAAAAAAAAAATCAAAAATGAATTCTACTACTCTGTCTCATTTAGGGATATAAAACCAGAAGTCTGGAACTTACCTGCAGATATCTTACCAGTACCCTTATACTCCCCCACAGATATATGTGCAAAGCCATTTGCTGAGCCAAGTTCTGACACGGAAATTTGGTAAGGTGGTCTCAGTTTGATCTCTGTCTGCATGTCAGCAAGATTCATCTTTGTTGACAAAGAACGCGTGTTGTTGTATCTCTGTTTGGTCCTCTGAATGAAATTATCTGTGTAAAATTTAAAATAAAAAGGTATATTTTTATGGACTTTTGTTAGTTAAATAATCCAAGATCATGCAGCTCTATGTACTACACACTTCACAAACTGAAACATAGTCTTTGAAATGTTTGCATTTATCTTGAATTTTTAACACTATTTCTGTTTTGTGCCTAATACATCATGGGTTATTTAATTCTGCAGTTAAAAAAAATCTAAGCTCTAGGAATCTAATTACTTAATAACTATGAATAAACTAATGACTTTTCACTGTATGAGACTGAATGCATTTCTAATACAATGGGTTTACTGCATTTATTACAGCTTTTCTGTTAGTTTAGTAAATATCCTTATGAAAAAATTAACTCCTGCATTCAAGTGTGAATGTACTTGAGTATGAAAAGTGCTTGCAAAATATTCAGGAGAAGAAAATAAATATATATTTAAGCTGTAACAGACTTAAATTCTAACTTAACAACTAGTAGAACAAAGGTGTTGGGGGAAAAAAAAGCGTTCATAGAAATTTTCACAAGAAGACAATAATGTTATACAGAAATTCTTACTAACTGACTGACTGAATTATAGACAGGAATTAACCAACTGGAATATCTGCCCCCCTATTTCTCAAACTGCTGTTCTTTTTGCTCTAATGTGTTTTATAAAAATATCTAAAATAACTGCCTAATATATAGCATTAAAGCAACATAAATTAATGGAATTTGTAACAACTGTTATCTGGTATATATGAGATGAGCTGCATTTGGAGTTTTCATGACAGAAGATTAAATGCTTCACTACATCGTAAGATAAATAAAAATGTCTCCCTTTCATGTACTGAACAAAAGTTACACCACAGCTAAGAGTAAGCTCCATGACTTCACAGGTTAAGTATTTCAACAGGTATGAAGTCAAACAACTCCTAGTATTAATAACTAGGAGAAGATAAACTCCAGAGTTGGTCACACAAGGCTCAAATCAAAACCTACTGGAATGAACAGAAAGATTACAAAAAAGTTTCGATAAAACTCTAGTAAGCCTAATTTAATGCTTTTTTAAATACAGAAGTATTTCTTCGTTAATTCTAACAGGAGTTAATTCACATTCTAAATCTGCCTAAAATACAGCTATAAACTGCCTTGGACGTTTTTGTTCTATGTGCATTAAGTTGCACATCTATTTAAATACTCATTTGTCTCAGTGTGAGAATAAAGGGGAAAAAAAGTCAGATCCTTACCAAACTCTATAAAACAGTATGGTCTGATTGCAGTATTTGTCTTCATCATATTGTAGGTAGTGATGAACTCTTTCTGAAGCTCATCCAGGAAGCAGAAAGCCAGGACACTGGGATAATTTTCAGTGCACAACATCATATAGCTTACTCCCAGGGAACTTATAAAGCTAGAATTGAGAAAACATATTTCAAATCCAGTCAAGTAGCTGCTTCTCTGGTCTGATCTCATATTCTACAATCAGAAAAACAAAACTTTATCTGGGGTAGCAAAGGAATTAATGTTTACTGAAAACTCCAACAATATTCTGGAAGAAAAACAATTTACTTTTAGGCTATGTTTTACTTTGACACCACATTGTACAATCATATGAGAAGCTGTATTATACATATATGTGTGTGCGCACACATATATACACACATCCATGAAACAGAAAACAACAAAGCTTTTGGAAGGGATCTTCAAGATTCAGTTCCAACTCCCACTAGACCAGGTTGCTTAAAGCCCCATCCAGCCTGGCCTTGAACACTTCTAGGGATGGAGAATCCGCAGTTTCTCAGGGCAACCTGTGCCAGTGCCTCACCACCCTCACAATAAAGAAATTCCCCCTAATATCTAATCCAAACCTGCCCTCTTTCAGTTTAAAGCCACTTTCCCTTGTCCTATCACTATATGCCCTTGCAAAAGAACTTCCACCAACGTTTGAGTAGGTTTCTCAAATTTAAGTTTCTCAATTTTAAATTTCTGATACATTAATACTGCCAATAATTAATCTTAATTTGATTAAGCATTTCCAAGGTGAACTGTTAATTTTTTAACTGACAGACACAACACAGGATGTTGCAAATACATAGAAAAGAAGCCTTACTTTATGTTATACTGTCCAGTTTTCAGAGTACACCTATCAGGAAGCTGAGAAAGTTTCTTTGCGAGCATTTTAAAATATTTTCTACATTCTTGCATTCCTGTGCTCTGCTCATAGTCAGTGGATGCAGACAGTGGGAGCCCATCCCTCACACGGACCACAGAGGCAGACAAGATCATAGACATTGCCGACAGAGTTAACGACAACCTACAACAAAACACAGATCAGGAGCAATCAGAATTAAGGTAAAAGCAGAAACAACGGAGTCAACTGTGATTAATCAAACTTCTCAAGCTGTGTACTAGGTTCAGGCTTCAAACAGGGCACAGTGAGGATTTTCAACCATAACTCAGATTTGAGTCCTAACTGAACGGGACCTATTAGTCTACATGAACCACAAAGCAGTTCTTCAAACCTTACATTAAATCAAAATATTCAAAAGTTCAGCATGACAAGCATTAAAAGAAGGATTATTTATCTGCTAAGTATCAGTACACAAGTGGGCGAACTGCTAGAATTTATATGAAGCCAAAAGCAAACACTTCCTCAGCTCTTAACACTGCTCTGCAGACTCCTACCATGTACTGCACCTATCACTTCAGAGACTATGAAAAAATATTTTTGCCTCCCTCAGATGATGGTACCCAAGATCCATACAGTCACAAACTGCAAAATGAAACAGATTTCTGAATACAGCTGAAATATGCTTTTGTGTGCAATACTGACATGTTTACAGCACCTTTCAAACTATGACGTTAAGGGTGCTTTACAAGCCTCAGCGACTGAAGGACTGTATTCTCAAAAGTCAGGAATCCAAATTTTCTCCAAATAACACTCCCTCTTCATAAAAGAGAGGAAACAGCTATTTTTCTCCCTGAACTCTCACCATCTCTATTTCCCACTACCCAAAGGTTAAGTAAGACACTTAATGAAAAATCAACAATATTCAGGTTTTTCAAGGTTATTTACTCTTCAGAGAGAAAGAGGCATATAATAATGAAAGCACTGAAAATGTCTTGTCATTTTCAGTTTAAGAAATTCAGCTTCATCAGCTTCATCAACTTCAACCTCCTTCGAGATGCATCACATTAGCTGAATAAATTCCAAATTAATACCCTCTTATTTTACTTGAACAGCATATCAGACTTTCCCCAAAGTCATAAAAGCAGTGGAAGCCGCTGCTGTCTGTTGTCTGCTGAACACCTCTGGGCTTTTATCAGGTGCACTTGTTATTTCAGCACTTCACAAGAGAATTCCCTCCTGTACCAAGTGCTTTGATCATCTGGACACAAAAACAAAAAAACAACTACAACTTCAGGACTTGCTCTAGATCAGCCTGCTGGGTATAAAACAGGCAAGAAGCTAAAGCCACAGTTCTAGAAACTTTTCACTATCTCTTGAGTTCATGCACGTACTCCCAGAAGGACAATTGACATGGAATGCACACAGACCCATTTTCTTAGCTATGCTGCTCCCCATATAACCAAGGCAGCAGCTCAAGAGCATGACAAAATTGCAGAGGAGCTTTAAACTGTAATGGTTCTCTGACAATAACCATCTCTACCATTTGGAACTCAATCCTAACAGGGACTTCTGGGAGCTATATCAATATACACAAAAGAACAACGATGTGATAGCCAAGTTTAAATACCCCCTCATTAACTTACTTGCACAAAATGTAATTTCATGGATCTGCATTTCCTCTGATGAAACAAATAACTTTGTTAGCACCTAACATGAAGAAAGAAACAAAGCTCCATGTCCTGTTTCAGGAAAAGGTAGTGAATATGACTGCACTGCAGGAGAAACTCAGAATCCTGTAGCCAGCTCTCAGAAGAAAAACTATTGTTCTGTTCACTTTTTAAATGATCTTGACGGTTAAAGTTCATGTTGAGCTATCTGATGAGATAAGAACAAAAAGAAAAAGTTAATAAATGCATTTACTGGCTAACAACATTCTTCAGCTTTTTGTGAGGACATACTTATTGGAAATGCCTGAACATATCCAAGGGAGGTTACTCACAACGTACTCAAAGAAAACTAGAATAATAGAGATATTAAAATGTTTCTGTGTTCTTTAAGTGAAGCTCAGGAAATCTCATCGCTTCAGCCATTTAAAATGGGAAAACGTTATCTGTCTGCACAGTACACAAGTAACTCAGGGTAACACAATCTTTGACTTTGATCCCATCATTCACCTCATACTCTATGTTTAATCATTCTGTAATATCCTCTGATCAGGACACTTTGGGAACATAACACAACACAACACAAACCACAGCTGTATTTCCAAAGCATTAATATTTTCAATATTCAATCTCACCATAGTTGCTTTGCTCCTATAACTCCTAAGGACAAAGAACATAAATACCACTAACAACAGCATGTATGCACAGACAACGGACAAAGGATAAGGACGTTTTGACAGGTATTATTTCAATTTTTATGTCTATTCTATATGTATATAAATATTTGCATAAATCTAGAACAAAACTTTCTTAAAGACTCCTATTTACATTTAGAGAAATTAGGCTCTCTAACAGGAGATAAGCCTCCACTGAACCCTTAATATATTCTCTTATATACTACAAAATCACATAAGGTGAAAATTGTGTTTAGATGAACGATCTTAAGAACACCAGTCAGCCAGGTTTTGTTACCATCATCTTAAAAACCCACCCCTTGAAAAGATGTACTTTTTCCTCAGCTTCCTAACAGCAAAATCAGAAAACTAGCTAAAAAATTATGCCAATAAAAGAGAATCACTTTGGTTGCAAGATCACACATATGTCAAGAGATGTGTAATACACATACTGTAACAGAACATTCAGCCTTACTTGAAAATGTATTAACATAAGAAAAAAGTTTACTAAATCTTCAAAATGAAAGAGCTGCTTTACCCAGCTCTCAAAAGAGCACAGCTTTACAGAAGGAGTCGAGTGGTAAATTTGATATAGACTTACATAGGTAGAGATTGAAGAATGAACATTAAGGATATGGCAGTGCTTTTAGAACTGTCTTTAAATGTCTTTTTTAAACATTATTCAAAATTGCATGAAATAATTCACCAAATTGTTACAAATTTCATACATTTTTGTTCAAAAATTCTATATGCCTCAACCACCTGAAGATGACAGAAGACTTCATTTCCACTACAAATGGTCTATAAATCTCTTACAGGTGCAGGGAAATGAGCAGGGATCAGGTTCACTATCTCATTCCACGACAGAACTGAAGACTACCAAATCCAACCAGCGGGTGTTTGCCTCACAGGTACCACAGGGTGTTCTTCACAAAATGTCACCAGCCTTGTCACAAGCTGTTGTCAATGCTACAATGTCATATGGATTCAAGAGGCAACTGGAAAAATCCACAGGAAAAGCTACTATGGTTATTAAAACCAAACCACTGCCCTTTGTTCAGCATGATTCTGACCTCAAAACGATCACCAACAGCAAGAGTACACCATGGAAGCACCACTCCATGCTTGCACCGTTCTTATGTTTTCCCTAGTTAGTATCCAATTCTGCCTCATCTTTATTGATTTCCCCTTACACTCCCTCATAGCCCTCCCTGCAAACAAGGACCGGAAGAACTCATGGAAAAGAGGAACATGGAGAAAGCTGGCCACAGACAGGTAAAAGTCAGCTGAATGGCCATTCCTCTGTTACTCCACCTTCCCAAGAGCTGTCCAATTCCTCACACACATCAGCATTCACTGAGTTCACAAATAGGAATTAGCATGTGTCTGGTTTCATTTTCTCCCATACACAGGAAACCTCAGATGATGGAAACCAGAGCCTGTTTCACTGCACGTTTTTTTCTGAAGACATATTCAATTATATCTTGTTTATTTCTGTTATGATCGTACTCAATCCAAGGCAACATCTGGAAAAGCCCTAGAAAGTGGCATATATTCCAGTCTTTTGTAACAAATTGGTCATCCTGTTTGTGATCTGACAGTAATTATTTTAGACCTATCTGCCAACATCTCATAATATTTTTTACAGGCGCTTGAAAGTGGCCTGTGACTATGGTTTGCTCAGGATACACACATTTTTTAAGAAGTGTAGGTTCCTAAAAACTGTAAGTAGATCTAGTGTAACAGCAAGCCTACTCTCCTGCACCTGCCAGCCTTCAGTACCAACTTAATCATGGCATTTCTTGCCAGGATGTCTGCCTCTCATGACAGCCTTCCATAAAACATAAAATTGGGAAGTGGGTGCAAGCTGCACTCCTGCTTGACATAGAATGAAGATACAGCTTCTGTTCTTGTTTCAAGTGTACGTAATAGTGTCAGACAATCTTTTGTCCCCAGTTCTGAGGGTTGTGACAGCTGCATTATGCAGGCAGGAGTCTTAATTCTTCCACCCTGCAGCACACTTCAGAAATCCGTGTAACAAAGTAAAGCACTACAGAAGACCACCACAAATAAAGCAACTGACATTGTCAGGTACAATCAGACAGGGAAATAATCCTAAACTACTAACCCACATAATCCTTCCCATAAAGCAGAGGAGAAAGAGACCACAGAAGCAGAACCACAATCACAGAGTCAATTATTTTGGAAAAGATCATCGAGTCCAACCTATGACCCAACACCACCGTGTCAACTAAAACAAAGCGCCACGTCCAGCCTTTCCTTAAACACTTCCAGGGATGGTGACTCCGCCACCTCTCTGGGCAGCCCATTCCAATGTCTAATCACCCTTTCTGTGACTCTTCCTGACGTCCAAACAATCCTGACAAACTAAGGGAACGGATCAAGCCGCATCCCAAAGTTTGAGAACCTGACCCTCTCACCTACCACCTACTTACGTGGCAGCTCCGACACGACCATTCGCACCCTTTGCCGCCGCCGCAGAAGCGCTGACTCAGCGGTCGGTGCCTCACACGGGTCCGCACCGCGAAACTTTAACACAACCTGCTGCCGAGCCCGGAGCGCGGCGCGGCCCCGCCGCCCCGGCTCTCGCTGCCCAGCGGCGCCTGCGAAGAGCCCCGAACGGCCCCCGGCGCCTCCTGCGCCCGCCCTGCCCGCCGCCACCACCAACCCCTCCGTGACAGCGGCGCCGCGACCCCCGCGGCTGAGGCGCGGACGCAGCTGGCCCTGAGGCTCGGCAGCCAGGCCTGGGGCCGGCAGCGGCGGGTGGGCGGGCAGGCGGGAGGGGAGGCGGTGGCGCGGGCCGGGCTGGGCCGGGCTGGGCCGGGCCGGGCAGTGCCGGCCCCGTGTCCCGCGGTGCCGGTGCCGCCCCCGCCCCTCATGGCGCGGGGGGCGCGAGCCGTACCTGGGCACAGCGGCGGCGGCGGCTCCCGCCGGGCATTGTGGGAACGGACACGTCCGCGCGCGCCCCGCCGGAGGCACAGCGACCCCGCGCGGGGCGGCCCCGCCATGGCGGGCGCGGGGGGGCGGGGAGGGGCGGGGCCGCGCCGTGAGAGGGCTCTGAGGCGGGGCCGCCGTGAGGCAGAAAAGGGGGACTGCTTCGTTTATCACAGAATCGTAAGGTTGGAGAAGACCTTTTGAGATCGTCGAGTCCAGCCTGTGACTGAACACCACCAAGCACCAAATGACACGCCCAGTTTTGCCTTAAACACTTCCAGGGACAGGGACTCCCGACGCCTCCCTGGGCAGCCCATTCCAATGTCTAATCACCCCTTTCTGTGGAAAAATTCCTCCTCATGTCCAATCTAAACCTCTCCTGGCGCAGTTTAAGTCCTCTTATCCTGTCGCTGGTTATCCGTGAGAAGAAGCCAACACGCATCTGGCTGCAGCCTCCTCTCGGGTACTTGTGGAGAGAGACAAGGTCACCCCTGAGCCTCCTCCCCTGCCCGATAATTAGCCCCATTGTCAGCACAACTGAGGTTGGGTTTTCCCGAGTAATAACTTATGAAGACTGCGGCTGGCAGGTTTCCACCAGGTTTGATGGACTCGCACAGCCCTTGGCATACGCCTGGCACTGTGTGAATGACCAGAGGTGTGTGTTGCATTCTCTGACAGGGACGCTGGAGCGTGTGTGATGGGGATGTAGTAGCCACCAGGAAAAGTGCACCGAGACAAGACCAGCTGCTACACTAATTTCACTCATTTCCAGACAAATCAACTGGGCATGTTTCAACAACAAATGATAATACAAAAGCAAAAGTTTGCAAGTCTCATTACCTATCCTAAAGTGAGGTTCCTATTTTAAACTACTTTCATTACTGATACAAGGACAATTTTTTCCCTGGGCTGCTCTTCAACTTCACTGTTTTCCTGCCGAATCACACAGTTTTAGTCTGTTGGCTCAAATCTCAAATGAAAGTAGCTTATTTCCTTGCTAACGCCTTTTAATTTCTCCTTCCATCTGTTACTACTTCACTATCCAAGTGCTTGCAGCATTGCAGAGTGTTGGGGTAGAGGTAATACACCTTACATTGTGGGCTTTCAGACTCTGCTGAGCTCCACTCGGGAGCAGGCTGGTCAGGAGGATGGCACTGAAGCTCAGTAACACACTCCAACCTCAACACTGCCTTCTCCAGGCAGCATAAGCAATTTTAAATGGACACCTGTGGTAACCCCGGATACCAGTGGGGCATCACCTGACTCCCAACCCCTGAGATAGTGTCTGTGAATGCCAGCGATTCCGGTGTGTTAAAATGATCTCTTAGATCTTACCAGGTCTTAATTGCTATTGCTGGAGATTTATTTCGCCCTTTCAGCCTCCAGGCTTTCTCCTCCATGCTCCAAGCAAAGCTCAGCCAAGCTGAGGACTCGAGCTCTCAGTGTCAAACAAGGCTGCAGCAAAGGGTACAAGGTTAACTATGGCTCTGGAGCTGAGTATCAGAGTGGGAGGGAAGACTAGCAAAAAGAGAAAAATTATTTTTAGAGGAGAATTGAGACAAGGTAACATTGAAGCAGGGGGTCAGGAGATGGGTCTGGCAGGGAGATGTGGGAGAGGAAGACAGGTGCAGGAGAGGTCGCTTGCAGGTGCTTGGTGAGGTAGTTTTTCTCTGAATATAAAAGCTCAAGGAAAAAATAATGTCCTGGAGACCATGGGAGAAGACCCTTTTCTGAGCTTCCTTCTTGCACTGAAGGCTGGTTGCAGGGAGGAACTGCCAAGGATGTGCACCTCGAATGAGTCTTGCTAAACCAAGGGATGGAGCGTTTATGTGTCTGAATATGCAGCTTGGCATCTCCAAGTTTGTATCTTGGCCTGTCGGGAAGAAACTGTGCTCCCTTGTCAGGCTTCTGTAGAGCAGAGCATGGGAACGTCTCAATCCTGACCGACTAGACACAATTGAAGCACACATTTCAGAAGATGATACATTAATCTGAATAATTTCCACAGAGTCCTTATCCTGTATAAACAGAGTGCACAGTATTACAAGCTGCTACACAATTTAACAGCTTATGATAACATCTACTATAATGCAGAGAACTAGTGATTACTTAATTAGAGGCTGTCTAAAGGTTTGTGATAAGTGCATACGTGTGTAATTTTAATTTTTCTAGTTCTTCTGAACTGTTTATCTTTCAACCCTAAAATTCTCTCGACCTTTCGTAAATGTTTTAAGGAAAAAAAGATAAGCATTTTGCATTTACATGAACAGGACTTCAAGAATTGTATATACATCTATTAGTTCAGACATATATATTCCTAGGGGAAGGAAACACATTATTCTTTATTTTCAGGTGAACCTGGCCCCAAGAGGCTAAATAAATCACACAAGGTCACCGAGGGAGGTAGTGGCAGAGTCAGAAGTGGGGTTACAGCTCCAACACTCTTAGCTCTCACGGTGAACTTAAATTATACCTCTTATTCAAGAATTTGCATGGCTAACCAGCCAGTTACACTTTAAATTGCTTTTTTTCCTTGTCCCATTCACTCCCCTAAGACATGGAAGCAGTAAAACATTGTCAGAGGGGCACCGTGCAGTGAATGCATTAGTGAAAGCTGCAGCCAGAATTAAAACTGAGATTCATAAGAAGCAAATACAGTCAGTGCAAAGAGAAAACAAAGCAGAGGAATGTAAATGTTACAGAAGGAGAAGAGGTGAGGAAACAAATGTGAGTACAAGGCAGGGTATGGAGAGTGTCAGAGGCTGAAGAGAGAGCTGGATGGGAAGGACTGGTGACAAAGGAGTCCCCATGGCGCCAAGCGCCTCAGAGGTGACAGCGAGGTGCATCTCCATGAGCACAGCAAAATAATGAAGCCACACGGTTGCTTAGTGTGTCATCAGCCAGCTGAAGGCAAAACCCAACAGCGAATGCTCAGAGATGAGTTAGGATGGGACTTATCTCACCAAAGTTCAGTGATCTGGAAATTGCCCTCTGCAAAGAAGCTCTTTGTTGCTATTTCTCCTCTGTCACTGCAGGGGACAGACGTGTCCAGCCACATGTATACACCTTGAGTTTAGATGACTAAAGGTAGGGAAGACAAACCCTTGGGCCCTGTCCGCTGGATTTAAACATGACTTTTAAATCAGGTTTGCCCAAGGAAAAATATCCAGCCTGAGGAGCTGGCAGTAGTTGTGCTCATCAGTGATGGAGTCAGAGGAGCAACACAGAAGTAAATTTCTGAAAGGACACACAGAAGGTCAGAAATTGAACTTCAGGGGTTTTATCAGCAAATTAAACTTTGGAATATATCAGAGTGCTGATCCACTTTGTAACCTGTTTTTAGAGGGGAAAATAAAAGCCCGATTTAGACTAATTAAACCCAAGTCCTTTCATATACAAAAAAAAACCCCAAAACAAAACCACAAACCTCCCCTTCTGTTTACTAGACATCTTTCTAGTTCTATTGCTCCTTTTTCTGAACCTGTTTTTTTCTTATAGCTTTCTTAAAAGCTGGAGGTATTATTCAAACTGGGGCTTTAGCTAAAAAACAGACTAATAATCCATTAGCGCGCTTCCTGTTTGTTGGATAGAAATGCCAATTCCCACAAAAAACCAGGCATGTTGAATCAGTGAACTCATGTTGAGTGCAGCCCAGCTTCATCACAAGTCCTTTACACTCTGAATCAGGCTCCTAAAATCATGGCACTGCCTAAAAGCCCGTGACTTTCTAACAGTTCTGCACTCTAAAAAATTGCATCCCACTTTGGAGGTTTTAGAGAAATCTGTGTCCATAATCATATGAGCTGAGATTATATTCACTGGAATGAACTGTTCTTGCTAACACAGCATCAGCAGAAGTGTGCGTAAGGTCATAAAAATCATCAGCAGAATATAGAGTTTATTTTCTTGCTTCTCTTTCAAAAGCCTCCTCCACTGATTCAGTCATAGGGGCCTGTGCTGGGCAGCAGTTTCTTTCATGGAACAGTAGTATTTAATTCTCAAGGGCTTTACAAGTCTGAAGCCACCTCATAATGTCGGAGAAAGTATCTCACTGGTAATAAATGCAGATGTTAGAACAAAATACAGTGTTATCCCAATGGCTCTTGTTACAGCAGGGCCCAGCATGATCTCCTGCATAAAGAACATCCTATTTCTAAAAAGTAATCTTCACACTGCATCTCAATTAGTTTGAAAAGCAATGTGTATTTAATGCATTTTTATTTACAGGGCCATAAGCATTATGGGCTTATGGAAATAACACAAGTG